GTTTCTGGTGCGTCGAGTCCACAAGTACCGGAAGCGAGCACCCTAAACTGTATTCTGTTAGTGAAAAACAGGTATAGGACACTCTCCAAGTGAACATAGCACATACACAAGACCGTTACGAACTGGGGAGGGTGGAAGGGCAAGGTTGTTTTGTCCAACAAATACATTTCGGCTAAAACACAACTTCTAAGCCTTCAATAACCATTGGATAAAGACCCACTTCTCTCAGAGATGAACAATATGAATCTAGAAACCTACATGGAGAAAAATTATAATAAAAAACTGTTTTCAGCGACCACCATCAGAACGATTATAGTACTTTCCCATCAAACCGTCTAAAGGGCACGTAAACCGCTAAAAGTTCGAAGAGTGTCCATAGCAGTATCAAAATTTGAAGGAAACTCACTTAAAAACAGTCTGCTAAACAGGACCTATTTTTATCAACAATTTGGTGGGTTGGCACCCGCGGCTTTGCAAACACATTATCGCAATACAGCATCAGACATGGAAAACAAATTCATGCAGATTGCTAGCATGGAGAAGAATCAAACTGTATTTCGTTTTTCCATGACCAACAACGAACAACATAAAAGATTATCAATTTACAAGGTTGATATTTGGAGCAAGGTGCTCGCCATCAGTAACCATTTTCATTTCATAGCAAACAGCTAATATTTTTGCACCGACTCTAAGCTATATCTATTTTGTTCACTCGTTTGGGAATAAAAAAACTGCAATTAAGTAATTAAAGAGCCGTAAACCTACACCCTTCAAACAGTAGATTCAACCTGAATGTTTTCGTTTCGAATCAATTAACTGTCATAACTGTTCAGGTTAACCAGTGTGACACAGATGAATAAAACCATCGTTACCTGAGCCGCTTAGTTTAAAATTCATTGAGCTGCAGTACTCATTCAACCCGCAAATACAAGCCTTTTATGATATGGTACAAACCAAAGATCCAGACCTCCAATCAAAAGTGCACAACATGAACAAATGTTGTTCATGTTTTCCACGACTATCACGTACGAGACAATTTCCTGTATATGGATGACAGTTTGGTAATTCCAAACACGCTCCACAAAGCAATCAACAATAGACTGCACTACTACCACCACGGCAATACGAATATGTTCACAGCGGTGACAGACATTTGATTTTCTTATATACATAGAACCATAGCCTCAATTGCGAAGAATTGCGAGAAATGCATGTTGGCATGTAAGAATCTTGAATCTATGTATACCAAGAGAGACTTAGTGAAAATATCAGAACCAAGGTAGATTAATGAAGCAATCCAAACAGGTTTTTGGAGCCTACTTTTGATCTAATCGAACCTGAAACGTATTCGATAACATATTCTGAATCGTCTTTCGCGATAGTCATTGCCAATGGTGTGCGTAATTAACTGTTCACACAAGAGCCTTGAGTTCCTAAAATCGTATATAAAAAATTACAGGTGCCAAAAAAAATTCATGTAGATTAGGGAATAATTTTTATGTCAAAAGAGGTTAAATCAAAAGGGTAACAGTGAGGATTATACCATCGCCAGTGAAGAATCACCGAGCGACGAAATGCGTCGAGCGAACGATTGGCAGTCTGAAGAACTCAGCTTAAACATAATCCCGTGAAGATGATTGAAAAGACCATCGGAGCCTCACGATCCACAAATAAGGCAACGTTGAAAATCACGTCTTTTGAAGCCACCATGGCCGAGAGGCAAACCCTAGGCAACTTAAACTGGTCCAACGAACTAAAATCTAAATCTGCATGTTTAGATGAACGAGATCAGGATACGAAAAACCCAGCAGACACAAATTGGGATATCAGATTAGACTCGGAACATTGAGGCCAATTGCGCAGTCACACAACACAGTGACCGACCGTCAGGCAACAAACCAGAGCGACGAACCTTCGGAACAAGTAACGGCATGGCCTAGCACAGCAGGGGGATGAGCGGACGTAGTGTTTTAAAGCACGGGCGAGCAAAACCTAAACAGGTACAAATAACATGATAACAAAGAAATCGCGGAAAGGGCACATACGGTAAAGATGGTAGCATTCTTAGGAAGTCGTGGATTGCGATCAGGAAAGCAACGACGCCGAAGAAAGGAGACCAGAAAAACCTCCCTAAGCCACCAACGCCGCAGGAACTGCGGAGATAGCTGGCTGCCAAAGGCACGATTTCAGGTCTCAACAAGTGAAATGAACGAAGATTAGAATCGGACAATGACTCTAATAGCGACGGCGACGTCAACCGGACAGTAACATTAAATAGCAAAGCGGGGAGAGTGCTAACGATTTTTTAGTGCACATTTTTTTGGTCAAAACTGTCCATAAAAAGCCTAAAAACGCCCTTTTTTGCCTATTTTTTTAAAAATCGCCTCTGGCCAAAAAACCTGGTCTTTTTAGTGATTTTGGAGAGCTCGGAAAATGAATTTGTTCGACCTAAATAAATCATAAGGTCGACAAGTTTTCAAAAATCCGCCGCCTCCCTCCCCCTTCGGGAAAATTCTAAATCCGCCGCTGTACCACTGCACATTTATTTGTTTCTATGTTGGCATAAATGACCCAGAAAAACCAAAGCCCTGAATATTTGGTTCAATCATATAGACGTTGATTTTCTGTGGAAGAAAATGAGTAAGCACGCAGTAATGCCACCTGCCTGCGTAAAATTGAATGATAGTTTAAACATATGCAAAAAGCGTTGCATTTTTTTAAACCAAAATGAAAATGCTTTAGCTGTCTTGTATGGTATTATTGGTGAAAAAAATAGTCGCGTTTGCTGCTTTCATGTCAATTTTAAAGTACGCACCAAATTTAATTCATTTAAAATCTATCAAAATCGTTCAAGAAAAAAAGATGAGCACTGTAATTTCAAATTTGAGTCCACAACATCAGTTTTTCAAATTATGTGAAGAATCGACCTCAAAACAACTGCAGGAAAATGTAAAGAAACTCAAAGAGAAAAAGGTAAAATATGATCGGAAACTCAATCCCAAGCTCTGAAAAGAATACCAAATTTTCTCGCTCCTGCGAAATTTTTTTAAATAACTGTTGATCACAGGACAACTATTTGAACCAAAAATGTGTCGGGTAAAAATTTGAAATAATCGTCAATCGGTGGCCTCGAACTCAATCAATAACAAAAGTCCCAATTGCTGAGTATATAGCTTGGAACCTCTTAACAACAGAACAAAAAAATATTGGTGATCACTGTGTTAAATTCAAAATTTTAACACTCTGAATTTTCAGGTTGACTTCTCTTCATTTTCGTTTTCAGGTTGATTTCTTTTCATTTTCGTTATCAGGTCGACTTCAACGGGGGAACAGATGGTAGCTACAAGACCCTGGAAGGTCACTATCCAGAGGGGTGGACTGGACTTCACCTCGCGTGTTATAATGGGAGACTGGACATTGTGAAATACCTGGTGGAGGTTCTGAAGGTAGACGTGAACAGGAAAGCATCCATCAATCAGTTTTAGATATTATGCTCTTTTAAACGAAGATTTTTCACTTTTTTAAACTAAGCCAAACCATACTTTTTAACTTACAATTTAAATAAGTTTCCAACAAGAATCCCTCCAAAAATTGTCAAAAAACTTCCATAATCGTAGTCTTGCATTCATATGACACCAATATATTATCAAATGGTCAAATAATATATTATCAAATGGTTCATCAAAAACATCAGCATACAAAAAGTGCATTTTATTAATTTGATCTGGTATCAATGATAAATTAGAAAAGCAGCGAAAAAAGTTATGAAAAAGTTAGGAAAAAAACTTAAGAAGTTGGAAAAAAAACTCTAAAAAGCAGCGCAAATGCAAATAAAAATGAATAAAAAAATCTTAGTGCGAAGTTGGAAAATAACTTTGTATACTAAGACAAGACTAATGATGATTTAAAACGGACAGTATGAATTTTGATGGATTCGTGTTCCTCTCAATAGCTCCAATGTCAACGGAGTCTCCCCTCTACACAAAGCGGCCTGCGGGGGGAGCAGAACAGTCGTGAAAAGCAAACCAGGAGCAACTGGTCAGTAGATAAACTCCACTCACAAAATCCGGAAAACAGGAAAAAAACTCATATCTGAAGTAATTTTAATACACATTTGAATCCCGGGACGAATCTAGGGTTGCACGAAGGGAAAGGGGTTTTCAGAAAAGTTTCAATATTGCCGATCATGATTTAGGTCGGCTAAAAAGATTTTATGAATTGTCTTGAAAAGCCTAAAATCAGGGGCGGATCTAGGATTTTCTCGAGGGGGGGTGGATTTTCAAAAAATTTTCCAAAATATTGACGACATTTTTTTTTTAGGTCGACCAAATTGATTTTTCGAGCTCTCCCAAAGCACTGTTTTGTCCCCATTTTGGCAAAATTTTCTGCGCCGTAGTCAAATTTTTGGCAAAAAACAGTCAAAAAAGCCGTTTTTGGGCACTTTTTGAAAAATTTTGACAAAAAAATCGTGATTTTTTTTGGCGCGCGCTCCCCTTCAAAGTTACTATATATTGGCGCCATTGGCGCCTTTAGAAAAATTTTAGGGACGGTCGGCCAAAAATGGATTTCTGAAAAAGTATCAAAGGGGGGACCCTTTGGGTCGGCAGGGGGTCGAATCCCTGAGGGGGAGGCGTCCGCCCCCCCTAAATCCGCCCCTGCCTAAAATACCTATGTTTTACTCAATTTTTTGGTATCGCAGCTCGCAGGCCAATTTTTCCACACTTGAATTGCAAGCGTTATTTTGGGCATAAAATTGGACAAGCTTGGGTCATCAATAATAAAAGTTGATGGCAAGTTGTTTGCGGAATCCAACGACAATTGAGAGCGGTATCAGTTTATCATCTCTGAAATTGACAGTCAATTCTTCAAAAAACTAGCTTTTCCTATTAATATGCAGGAGCAGACATTAAGTTTGTTAGTTTTTATGTTGGGTTTGTGTAGAGTCCAAGGGCAAGACAGCATCCCGCTACGTGTCTATTCTAAACCTTCTTCTCAAATCGGGGGCTGAAATAGACCACCCTGACAAAGAGGGATCCACCGCTCTAAGGTAACTCAAAAATGAAAAAGAGGGGGTTGGGTAAGGGTTCGGGAGTTTAACGGCGGGTGGGGTGAGTGGGGTGGGGGGGGGGGTGTTATTAGCTTAGAAAATTGAAATTTTTAATCAGTAATAAGAAACTGGATTAAAGTATAACTCTCAAGTCTAGTTAAAACCATTTGCAGTGTCAGCCAAATAAAACTTGAGGATTTAATTTGAAACTTTGAAAGGCAAACAAACGCTAAGGGGTGTCAATTTTTTGAACGTAATTTGTACTATTTGAGGTGGTAAATGGTACTTCATCCTAAACTGTCGACAATGATAACAGATACAAGCTTTAACCACAAACGCCTCTCTCTCTCTCTCTCTCTCTCTCTCTCTCTCTTGGCTGATAACCGAAATGTCCTTTTTTCAGATGGAGCGCAATTATGGGCTTCGCAGAGGGCGCTGCTGTGTTGCTGGAACAAGGGGCGGACCCCATGAAAGCAAACAAGCCAAAATACAAACAGACTAGTCTGCACGCAGCCGCTCGGTAAGGATCCAATTATGACGAAAAAACCGCGCAGCTTCTTAGTCGACATGGGTGGTTATTTTACAACATAATTTCTTAAAACATTTACCTCATAGATGCGTACGTACATTTAGCCAAAAAGAAGACTCTTACTCTTTTTCAGAAGTCGGATATTTGATTTTAAAAGACAGGCGATTATATATTATTGGAACTTTGCATGAAATCATTGGAAACCAAAAGCACTCAACTCCATTTTATTTTCTAGTTCTTTATAATTATTGGAAAAGATTGAATGTTTAGTTACGGCAACAGCGAAGTGAGTTATGACTGGAGTGTATAACTCATAGAGTAATTTCGGATAGGGTACACCGTCTGCTCGTCACGCTATCTTATTTTCGGCCGGATAGATTCGTGCAACTTCTTAGTCTAATACCGATCCTAATCTTACTCTTATACTATCTAGTCTCAGGTTGTTTAACTAGTCTCTGCTAGGCTCAATAGATCTAGGGTATACTGGTTTATTGCGGCTGCTGAAGTGCTCGGGAGAGTCCAACTATTTTCTAAGTTAAATTCAAATCTCTCTGGTGCTGAAATTACAAGTAACTTCAGCACTTACAAATAAGTGGGTTGTTAGTTAGATGGATCATGATTGGTTAATATTAAATACTTTACATTGGTAAAATATCTAATTTATCCAATCATAAAATGTAGTTTAGATCAGGTTCCACCCATCCGGGTTTTACAGAGTTTTTTAGAATAGTTCTTCTGCGATTCGAAGGATGGATGATGGACGTTGGTTTTTGGCGAACATCATCTTCTTCCGTTTCCTCTTTGTTAAAGAAGTTCCAGGAAGCTGGAGTTAGAGACATAAGACGTTGTGTCTTCTAGTGACAACGACTAAGTCTTTGCAACAAACTCAAATCTGATTTCAGAATGGTTGGCTATGTCAGGTTTTTCTGTTCTGCGTGGAGAACTTCTTTTGTGTCTGATCTAGTTTGGGAATGGCGTGGAGATTGTGCGTGGAGGGGATGCCTGGTTACTCGGATCTGTACGTATACTTGAACATCGAGGTGGTCATTGGTCTAGTTCAATGAAGTCCTTTTCTGCGAAGTCAAGTCGTACTCTAAATCCTTTGAGTTGTGATTGTGAGTGGCATATCGATTGTGGTTGGCCATTCTCTCTCGAGTGTAGTGGGGTCGTTTTGTCTTTAGATGTTCGTCCTTGGTGTTGTATTCTGATCTATGTATTGCATAATGCAATTTACATTTTATAAAACATTTATTAGTTTAATATTTTTTAATTATGATTTCAGTTAGTTGTTTTCACAAAAGCTTTTTGTTTTAGTTCGGTTATTTTGAAGAGTTACTCACCCTTGAGTAGCTCTTATTAAAAATAGAGGTGTGGTCACAAAGCGTGGATGTAGCGCGGTGGGTTAGGCCGGCTATAGAGCATGCTCAGGACGTCCTTCCTGGTGGGTTAGGCCAGGAGTGGGAGTATGATTTCATGCGGTTTTTGTGAGGGGTCCTGTTATGTGACAACGTTTTATGTTGGGTTTGTTGTGGTTTTTCTTATGTCTTGTTGGTTATGTCCTTTTTCCAAAAAGCAAATTGTTCGTGGTATGGGTTTGTCTTTCGACTTTTTTGTGTTTTATTATTTCTTTCTTAGACTTTATAATAGTCTTCAAAAGAATAAATTATCCAGTTTTAAACTGGGTTAATCCGGTTTGGGTACCGTTGGTTTCCTTTTCTTAGTCATGCTGTTATTCTATGATTTGTGGTATTTAGTAAGCTGCGTTGGTTAGTTTTGTTTAGTATATGATTCCTTTCCAACCGGGTTAAAGGAAAGTTTGAAACATGTTATTATATGTTAGAGTTGTTGAGTGTGAAAACTTGAAACTGAAATTCATTATTTTAAACAATTCTTCGTGGGCGAGCTGTGCGAGTGTGGATAGAATTTCTGTGCGAATGAATGAAAATATCAAAAGGTTAGTACTGCATTTGCATTTTATTAATTTACTGCATAGAATTTGGAAATTTACTGCTAGTTATGGGGGAATTTTAAGTTACAAATTTTCATCATAATTAGATTTACTGCTTGTGGGGAAAATTTTTAGAAATGAATTTACTGCATTGGTATTAAATTTATAAATTTATAAGTGTAAGAGATTAATAGAATTTTTGAAATCTGTTTGATGAAATTTGCGATTTTTATTTGTCTTTTGTGGTTTTTGTAGGTGATTGTCGGATGAAGGCTAAAAATCTAAAGAAAACATGGATAAAGTATGGTGAGTTTTTTAATATTTTAATTAATTAGTAATATTCATTTAATTCATACTTACCTGTTAGTCGTCGGGGAAAAAACCGTGGGGGAAGATGTCGTGGATGAGATCGGAAGTTGTTAGTAGTTTAGCTAAGATGCGGATGATATTTTTAGTCTGAAGCAGTGGCCAAAGCAATTGAAGTGCCTTGATAGTGGTTATTTCTTCAGTGCCAACTGCAAACTCATAAGGTGTGTTTTGGATTAGATTATATAATTTGTGATTGAATTTAGTGTTGTGGATGAATTCTAAAATTGGGATTTCTATAGGTTGTACAAACTCGTGCGGGATAAGGAAGGGTCGGGATTCTTCGGCGTTGAAGGTCTTGGTGATGGGACAGAAGATGTACATTTGGGTTATGGGATCATAATTGCGAAGAATACCATGAAGGTTAGTATCTTTAATGCAATATGTGAAATTTAGGAAAAATGGTGAAGTGTATTTGGAATTAATGAATTGAAAACGATGGTGTGGTTGTCTAGAGGGTGTGTGTAGGTCAAAGTGATTTTGGATGAAGCGATAATAACTATATGTGTGGGTTTGTTTAGTGCGCAACATAATATCGTGTGAGCAGTGTAAATCTCTTTCGTGTGGTGCAAGGAAATGAAAGGTTAGTGAAAATATTTGGAAGCGTTCTTTAAAACTTTCGTATGCTTGTGTGTCTGTTAGTGCTTCTGAAATAATGTGATCAAACTTTCGGTCGAAGATGTTTAGTGTAAATATATATGGTGTCTTGATGAAAAATTTCTCGGTAATTTGTGGATTAGCGAAGCGATCGTCGTCTAAGAATTGATCTTGGTTAGCTCTGATGGTGTTGTGATCATAGTATTCGAGTGTATATTCGTTAGCTCTAGGTGCAGTGTGTGTTTTTAGTGATTTTTTATATCCAACGTAAGTAAATTGTCTAGCGGTTAGTGGTGTAGTGAGTCGATATAGCATGTCCGTATTTCGCTCTATATCGATGTGAGTGTTAGATAAAGGTAAGCAAAGAGGGTTAGTAAAATGATAATATGAGGTCCAAGAGAGAGTGGGCATTAAAACGTATTCATCTACAAAGTTGCGTGTTTCGTTAGTGTCGTGGGGGGTGTTTAAGGTGTATTGTGGGAATGAGGGTAAGGTGATGGCTAAAAATTCTTTTGTGTTAGTATGCTTGGGGTGGTTGATGTATTCACGGGCTGTTCCTGGTTTTGCTGGGAAAGGATGGTTGGGGAACTTTCTTTTAAAAGTGCGGTAAGCTCTATTAGTGTTGAGTGAAGATTCAGTTGATGTGGATGATGGTGCTAATGATTCAGTATAATTTGAAGAGGGTGTAGGGGTAGGGGGGTTGGATGAATTTATTGTGGAGGAGATTTGGTTTATTGTTGGGGTATGGAGGTGGTAGGGTTGTTGTTGAAGGGTAATAAAATTATCTAGCTCTGGGGAGATTCGGGGGGTGTCTGGAGAATGAGATGATTGGTCAGAATGAAGTGAGGAGTAGGTTGGGGTAACTTGGGAAGCATAAGAGGGTGTGGAAGTGATTGGGTCAGGGTTATTGGATAATATGGGTTGAAAAGGGGGTTGAGAAAAATTAGAAGAATTATGAAAATTATTGGATGGGGATGGTTCTGAGTCGGCAAATTCATCGGGGGTTTCAATATTCGGGTTATTGAGTTGTGAGATGGAATATAAAACTGAGATGTGTGAACTAGTGTCGGAATTCATGCCTGATGTTACATTACTAGATGGAAAATCGGGTGGCGGAAAAGCAAAAAGTGGTATTATTGGGATTGGAGAGGTAAGATTGGTTGGGTGGGAATTTGATCGGTGTAGTGATCCAAGTTGGCGGCTCATCGTGGGCTAAAAAAATGATTATTTTGAGACTGAAAAGCGGTGGTATGGGGTTGTTCAATAATTTGTTCATAAGTATTATCATCTTGTGACTGGTGTGTCATTATATGTTGGATGGGACTTTGTGATGTGGTGAGTCGAAAATTTGGATTATGTGTGATGGCTAAATTTCGAAAATTTCGTGGGACTAGGGATAGTGGATGGTTATTTGGTAGGGGTGGTAATTGTGGTGCCGTTGGCGTTATGTCTACATTGTTATGTTCTTCGTCGTATGTATTTTGTCGTGTTGCTATTTTTGTGTTATATTCTTTTATTTGTGCGTCTAAAAGAATTTTGTTTATAGATGTAGAAAAGATTCCAAAAAATCCTGCAAAGAGTATGCGTGCTACGCTTGCTTGTCTGTTTACTTGTGTGTGTATAGCACATGTGTTGTAGATTCCTTTTAAAAGTGAGAAAAGAAATCCAATAAAGTTAAACATTGCGTATAAAATAGTCAATTTTTCTAAGATGTAGTAGGGCCATCCTAGAAAATCGAGGATCTCATTTTTGAGTGTAACAAAGCTAAAAATGTTAATTGGTGATATATCTTGGGGACCTTATTTTTCACCGTTTAGATATATATAATCTTTAATGTCTTTAAAATATCCGCTATAGTCTTGCGTGTAGATATCGGCAAATCCTGCGGTTTCTGCAAGTTTGCGTAAATTTTGGTCTATTGATTGTCTTTGTATAGTGTCCATTTGTGTTAATAATTCTTGGAATTGTTGTGTTCTAATGTGATGTTGAATATCTGATTTTGAATAGATTCCTATTGATTGTAAGTCTATATTTGGGTTTCGAGCAATAGCGCGAATGCTTTCTGGTGAAAATTTTTTGAGTGATTGCATTAATGTGGGATATGGAGTGAGAAGATAATATTTATTTTCATCAGGGTTTAGTTGTACTACATTGTGGCTGTTTTCTGATCCACATGGGACTGCGGTATCCCAGAAATATGTTCTTCGTGAAAGTGTATCCACGAAATGTACTTTATTCTTATAAAAGATAGGGATTCTTTTATAACATCGTTTATCTTCAAAAACGTATAGTGGTGATACTTTTTTAGTACAAGTATAAAACCATAAGATGTTTCCTTCATAGTCTAAAAAATTTGATCTATTTCCAGATAA